AGTCAGGGCACCTTGCACGGGAATGCACAATTGAGGCCACAGCCTAATTATTTTCCTTTGTCACCCCTCCTTTTTCTGATTCATGGTTGTATTATTTTCTCTGAAACCTTTTCACTGACCAAAGGTTAGCAAATAGAGGCTACTCCCAGACCAGTGAGCTATACTTGCCATGTAAAAGGTGGAAAGGGGTGGGAAAAAAACCAATTTTCTTCATTTAACTACAAAAAAAGTTTATGTTTAGTTTGGTAGAGGTGTTACATATAATGCTTTGTGAAAGAACCCCCTTTCCGTGCCACTGGTGAATAGGGACTGATGCATTGGAAGAGTTGTCAGACCATTAAGCCCGTCCTGGGCTTCTTGAATATGTTCCCATGTAGGAGGTAAAACCAATTCTGGACGTGTCTTTAAACGTCTTTCAGTAACTTTAATTTTAGCATAATAATGGCCTTGGATTGTCTGACCTCAGTGGCTGTCAAATAACATCAAGTAACATCTGTATCAGGCCCTCATAGAACATACAGTTGAGTAGGAGTAAACAAAAAGACAATGTGCACACTCATGGCTGTATGGCTGTGCGGCTGTGCGAGAGAGCAGCTAGCCACCTAGACAGAAACGCCTGCATCACAGCACTGGTGGTGGACATACAGATGGGGACGGCAAAGGTTTAGAACAAAGTTTTTCAAAGACTAAATCTAAAACCCAGAGTAAACATAGATGCTCAGAGTTAGTATAATTTGGAGCTATTCAGGAATTGCAGAGAAATTCATTTTCATAGAAATCAAGATATTATTTTTGTATAGTATATCACTTAGGCAACTGTTTCATTTGCTATAATCAGCTTTTACTTTTTTATATAATCAGTTTTTAAAAGTGAGATGGAAAAAGCAACTGAGTCATAGAAAATAGAAAACGTAATCTTAAAATATTTCAATAAAGCTGGATGAGGAAGGCGAAAAAAAATAATAAGAGTCTCGATTGTTCTTCATGTGAGTGTGCAGTTTTCTCAAAAGTCTGTTCATTCTCCAATGTATGTTCTTGGCACCTTTGTCAAAAATTGGTTAGTTGTGAATATGCAGATAAATTTCTGGACTTCTTATTCTGTTGTGTTCTAGTCTGCTTATGTGTTCTGTGTATTTATTGCTAGTTAATTAAAAAATATTTAATACTTTGTTGGGAATTACACTGATTCTGAATATCAGTTTGGATATGTAGGCATTTTCACAACACTAAATATTCTAATTTATGAAAAGCAGAATGTCTTTTTACTTTTCATGTGACTTTTTAGTGCTTCTCAATTTTCATGGCATTTTGCTTAATCCAATGAGAAGAAAAAGGTGCACTAATAGTGTTTGGACAGGATATCCTGTCTGCTTCTTGTACTATGGATAACCACTAAGAAGATAACAATGTACAATGTTTTGATTATCGTAACTGTCCTATTAATCAGCTTTGAAACTGTCTCATTCATATTTGTTTCTCAATAAAATAAATTAAAAAATTTTCATGGGAAATACTTCTATCTTGCTAGCCACTTTATTTCTATGTAATCCATTGTGGATATTGTGAATGACAATGTTTTCAATTTTTGTTTCAATTTATCATTGCAGTATTAAAATGCTACTGTTATTTTTCTACAGTCATGTTATACTTGTGGCACTATTAAATCTCTTTGTAACAATTCTTTAGTGAAGTCTAGATTTTTCTATATATAAGATCATGTCAACTGCATACAGAAATAAGATACAATTTCTTTTCCAAAACAGCCTTCTTTTATTTTTTTTTCTCTTTGTTAATTGTTCTGGTTCAGCTATCCCAGCTATGTTTAATAGGAGTGGTGAAAGTGGGTTATTTGTACTTTGCTCCAGATCTTAGGGGAAATCCCAGGTTTTCTCCATTTACCAAGACAGTGACTATGAGTTTGTAATGTATAGTTACTTATATTGAGGTGCAAACCTTCTATTACTAATTTATTCAGGGAATCATGAAGGATGTTGAACTTCATTTCATTCTTTTTCTGTATCTACTAAGATGATCATACATTTTTTGTCTACAGTCTGTTGATGTGTTGTAGTATATGAATTGATTTTTGTAGATTGAAATATATCTGCATATCTAACTTAAATCCTATTTGAATATAAACTGTATTATATCTCATGTATCATTGGATGTGGCTTCCTAATACCTTGTTGAGAAGTTTTGCATGTATGTAAATCAGGAATACTGGTCTCTAGTTTTCCATTATTGTTATGCCTGTATCTGGTTTGGACAACAGGGCAATATTGACTTCCTAGGATTATTTTGGCAGAGTCCTCTTTTTCAATATTTGGAATAATTTTAGAAGATTTATGTTGGGTTTTTTGAAAGTGTTTTGTACAGTTCAGCAAGGAGACCACCAAATCCTGGGATTGTCTTTATTTGGAGGACTTTTTAACATGGACTTAGTCGCATTAATTTTGATTGACCTTTTATTGTCTTCATGTGGTCCAGCATATAGTACATGGTGCATGTGTGGAAATTTGATCCATTTATTCTGGATTTCTAAAATTTGTTGGCACGTATTCGTTTATTTGTCTGTGATGGTCCTCCATATTTGTGTTACTCATAATAATATCTTGTTTCATTTGTGATTTTATTTATTCTTTTACTCTTTTTTAACTGGTTAAAGATTTGTTAACTTTGCCTACCTTTTCAAAAATAACTTGTTTCATTGATCTTTAATATTGTTTGGTCTTCATTGAATTCATTTGTGCTCTGATCTTTATCATTTCTTTCCTTCTACTAATTTTGGATTTAGTTTGTACTTTTTTTCTAAGCTTTCTAAGTACTGGAAATTGAACCCAAGGCCTTTGCAGGGCTACATCCACAGTGCTTTATTAATGTTTTAATTTTTGAAAGAGGTTCTCACAAAGTTCTCCAGGCTAGGCCTAAACTTGTAATCTTATTGCCTCAGCCTTTGATAGTGCTGGGAGTACAGGTTTGTACCGTTACACTCAACCTATCTTTTTAAAGTTTCTGATAAATTTTTATTTCCATAAACTTTCTTCTTAGTACTATCACTTTCTCTAGCTAATACATTTTTGTATATTGTATGTTTTAATTTATTTTACAAAGTCTTTAATTGTTTTTCATTTCATTAATTGATGCAGGAGTAATTTGGCAGCATGCTATTTTTCTTATAATACCTTAATTTCCTATAATACCTTAATTTTTTATATTTTTAATATAATTTTAATTTTTCAACTCAAGGCTCATTTTGTAAGATAACTTATGCTCTATCTGGAGAATGTTCTGTGTGCATATGGGGAGAATGAATTCTAAAGCTTTAACATGAAATATTTTATAAATGCCTGTTAGGTCCATTGTATCTGTAGTTTAATTTCAATACTTTTTGTTATTTGTCTTCTAAATAAACTAGCCACTGATAAAAGCAAAGAGTAAAAATCCCTAACTATTATTGTATCAGAGTTTACCATTACATCTAATATATGTTTTTAGAACATTGAATGCTGTAGCATTGTATGTGTATATAGATATGCTTTTTTTTAATTGATGTCCTTTTTGGGTCATTTTACAGTTTTTGACCTATAGCCCATTTTATATGAAAATAATATAGCTACTCCTGCTCTGTTTTGGTTTCTGCTTGCATGCTATTTTCTCAATGCTTCATTTCTTATCTATGTACATTTTTATTGGTGAAGTTCTTGTAGGCAACATACAATTGGGTCTGATATTTGCCTACCCATTCACTTGTTATCTGTTTATATTCATTACTGATAGAAATTTACTCCTAAAAATTTTGTGAAAATTTTCATTGCTTTGCATATTACTTGTTCCTTTCCTCTCTTTTTTTTTCCTTTTTATCTTTCTGGTTTGGTTGCTTTGTGTAACAATAGAGCTTTATTTTTTTTTCTCTCTCTCTTTTTTTTTTTCTTTTGAGACAGGATCTCAAAAAGATGCTATGCAGTTCATGCTGGCCTTGAACTCACTTTGTAGCCCAGGGTGGTCTAGAACTCAACAGGATCCTCCTGCCTCAACCTCCCAAGTGCTGGGATCACAGGTGTGTGTACCACCATGCCCAGCCTCTCTTTTTCTTTTATGTATATTTTTTGCTAGTAAGTTTTACTCCTTTACATGTTTCCCTGATGGTACTCATTACCCTTTCTCTTTTAGAAACAGAGATCCTTTGAGTATTTTGTAGAGATAAACTCATGAAGAATCCCTCGAGTTTAATTGTCTTTGACAGTTTCAAAAAAACAAAAAGCAAAGGAAGAGAGAGTAAATGAGGTCATGAACACACTGTTTCCAAGCAAAAAATTATTATAAAGCACTTTTCTTTTCCCAGGAAATGGTGTATGTGTGTTTGTATGACCTTTCCTTTCATTTCTTTAATCACTATGTAGGAAAGTTGAACATAACACTGCATTACGAAATTATATTAAATGTTAAATGTAAATAAACATTTTCAATGTTGAATTCTACATTATGAAATTATAAAAGAATACCATGACAGTTTCAATCACCCGTAAAATAATCCATTGTTGACATATCTGTTTGCATCACATTTTGGCAACATCAATAATACCTCTCCTTTCAGAAGCCTGAAAATTTACCTTTTGGCAAGTGGCATGGTAACAGATCTTTATCAGATCTTTAGAGAAGTGCTTTCCTAATTCTTGTGTATAACCCTTGTGACAGTGTAGTCAGTCCTGTGATTGAAGTTCTAGAATGGTTTGAACTCTTAAGTGTCACATAACTGTTTTGTTTTTCTCTTTGTTCCTGTCCTACTTGTGCTGCTGATTCCAAAACAGAGAAACAACTAGTAAAACTCATCAGGAAATTTTAGGTAAAAGGATAACCCCCCGCTGAAGTAATAGGAGAGGTGGCCTAAATGTGATTGGTGGGTCCCAAGGTACCTGCTCCAAAAAATAATTGATCTTTGACTGTGTGTAAATATAAAAGCAAGAAGGTAGAGCAAGTGAAAAGGAGACATAGAACAGCAAGTGAGAAAAATGCAGAGAGAGAAACCTGGCTTCCATAAGAGGAGAAAAGAGCATAGCTTAATTTGGTGCTTGTTCAGCCATTGGGATAGTATGAAGCCTACTATTTTGCTATGTACCTTTTTGCTTCATTTCACTCTTGCTGTGGCATCAAACCCGTAAGGGAATATTACACTCTATTTATGTTAAAGTCCTTGCAATCCAGCTTTATTACAATGCTACATGTTCAATGTAATTATATCTTACCATTTCAACTTGTAAGACTAGGTGTTTGCCTGCCCTAGGAACTTTAAGCCAAGGTGAAAGGAATAAATATCTGTTCTTAAACTACAGCTCTTTTTGTTTGACCAGGATTATTTTATTTTACCTATAGAAATCTGTTTCAGGAATACTACTATTGTTAAAACTGCTTTTGGTAGATGTTCTCCTTTGCTGTTAAGCCTGTTTATAGAGTGTTGGATACTTTCTTTGTGCAGCCAATACATCCTCTGGGTCTCCCCTGTGGTGCAGCGTTACTCGATGGAAAAAGCTTGCCTCCATCTTTTAAACCTTAATGAATCTGTATCTTTGAATGTTGTCTTAGAATATGATGGATCTAATACTACTATTTTTGATCTGTCTGTGGAAGAAGACACCTTCTATTCCTGTGCGAATTTCAAGGTAAGGCACTGAATTTGGCATTCAAGACTGCAGATAGAAACAAAAGCATGGCCTAAGTTGTTTTTAGATTTCAAGTCTTGATTTTGGATGACTTGTAGAAGACAGAGAAGAAACGGGATTCTAGAGAGGCCAAAGATAAAAAGGGCATTTCTATATGCAACAAAACTTATGAATTATGACTACTCTTGTATTTTGGCAAATGATAATGAATTATTGCTGCATTTAGATGGTAAAAATGTTTCACAGTATGAGGAAAACCAGTTGAGGTGAAGCAAGGAAAGGTTTGGATTCAGAGGAACAACAACCATGAACAGAGATAGAAGGCAAGAAGACATAAACATAAATTACTACCTTCTCAGTAAATTAAGTAACTGTAACTGGTGATAGTCAAGTCTTTCCTTAGGAAATAATGAGTTTATAAGGCTCTCCCTGACAAGTCAAATTAAGACCTTATTATTTTTCCATTCTTTGCTTTCTACATAAACAGGTCTCTCAGAAGTCCTCTGAACAGTTGGCTTTCATCACATTGTTGGTGAAGGGCAACACTCTTAAAATCTTTGAGAGAAGATCTGTAGCCATCACTAAAGAAGAGACAGTAACTTTCATACAGACCGACAAACCCATCTATAAGCCTGGAGAGAAGAGTATGTTAATATTCTAACTTCTTTATTTTTCCTTTGCTTTGCTTCATAAAATATTGCCCACCCTTTGCACTGGATGCAAATTCCAGTAACATCACCAGATGGAAAATGGAGTATGACTATTATGTCTGAATAATTGCTCCATATTTTGCCAGCTGAGGAGCTAACCGACCCTCCTCTACAGTCTCCACTGTATTATCTGTATAGCACAGGCAGCAAAAGTTTCTTACAAAAGTAAACAACCATGAAATAAAAAGCCAAGGTACAAGAGTGCCCAGTATACAGTAAATATGTCATAAATAATATTTGTAATTTTTATCACTATTATCGATGCTTGTTGATAGAATCATACACCTGATAATCTATGCAAAATATTTTTATATTGTTTCCTATTTTTGTAAATAAAGTAGCAAAAAGAATACTAACCTAGAATTCAAAAGGGTTCTTTTTTTTTTTTAAATGTATTTAGTACAGTGTCTACAGAGTCTCACTATGTAGATCAGATTTGTAGTGATCCTCCTGTTTTCAGCCTCCCAAGCGCTGAGGTTACAGGCACGTGCCACCATGCCCAGTCTCAATCACCCTCTCAGCGCGCCCCAGGGCAGGGGTGGAGCCAGCTTGACAACCCCCCACACCCACCCCCGTGTGTCAAACCCCAGCCGCTGAGCTCTGCCTAAGCAGGCACTTTAGTCTGCTGAGGTCTCTGGCCAGCCCTAAAGGTTTGTTTTTTATCTTGGCTCTCTGTTACTGGCCTATGCCGTGAAAGTTCTGACACTGATAATCATGTCACCTGTAAAATAGGTGTCAAATGTAAAAGAAGTCACGTTGCTCTCATTGGTAGCATCTATTCATAAGATTCATTGAAAAGCTAATTATTAAAGTGATATATGGATGCATTGTACCCCTTTGTCTGGACTTATTAGAATACTGATTAATATAGATATATGTATAGATATACATGTAGATACACAAAAAGAGCTAAAACCTTTTATAATACTGCTAAAATTAAATTTTGCTATCTTAATATAATTTGCCAGGAAAATTGTGCATCTTTTGTCATACATATTTCACAGTTGGCCTATTGTTGCTAGTTCTAGTACCAAGCCTGAAGATATTCCTTTGGCATGTTGGGGAAAAGGTTTCTGGTGGTGCCTGGTATCAACCCCTACAGCAAGAGCTCATTAATAGCAGGACTGTAAATGTGCACGTGTGGTCTTCTCCAGTGAAATCCAAATCTCAAGGGTTCAAGGAAAAAGGGTGCTTCCTATTCTGTGATTAATGGGGCAATTTCCATAACTACTTAAAATCAATATCTGGAAGAAAACAAGAGAAACACCATTCCTTTCTCTCTTTTAGTTAACTATCGTGCTGTGACGCTGAATACTCAGTTCAAACCTATTGAGGATTTGGTGAGTCAGCTAATTTCTAATGGGAAAACAAAATGCAAAGATACTAAACAAATCCAAGCTACACAACATGTCTTCAGGGAGATTTCTATATGAGGTTTCAAAGTGGAATATCATGCTAACCTTGTTTTTAAATCTAAAATTTTCACTTACACTGAATACATTTGCATTTCTTTAGATACTTTCATCAAATAAAAAAGTCATGGTTTTCACGGAACTTGCTTTCCACATCCCAGCAGAGGTTAGGAGTCTCTTTCACACTGAGTGTCTCCTTGGCATCTTTAGCTACAGAAATTTTATTCCCTGGGGAAGTGAGGGATAGTGCCACTAGGCCTGATTTATACCATATAGTGCATGTTTGGCAAAATAATGTGCTACTATTAAACTACTAATCTTCATTTTTCTTTTTCAGTATCCTTTAATCAGACTTCAGGTAAGAGATCTGCTTTAAACACATGTTCTTTAAAATATTTTGATAAATAATGAGGTGTTTAAATTTCATTTTGTGCACAATGAAATTAAGATGACTGAAATAAGGGAAAGAGATATCTTTGAGTACATACGCACATAGGCATCAGGTGAAGAGCTGAATGAATTTGAATTTGGCGTAGGCTATGGGGCAAATGCTATAATTTGTTTTTTAAGGAATTAAAATATCATATTCTGGGGCAGATTTATGCTTACAGTTTCGTGGTCTTGGCTGATGGTCCCTCTCCGTCTTAAATAAGCCACATGTTCTTTTAAAAGAAATAGAAAACACAGACATTTTTGAATGCAGAAATATACCATAAGGGGACATCACTTATTACAAAATGGATTCTGTTTTCCAAATTAGTTAGCAGTCTCCTTTCACCAGCTTAATTCTCTAGAGGAGTGTGCACTCCACAGATACCTGAAATTGTACGCCTATCAGTAAATTGTATCAATCAACTCCAACATGCTTATTTTGTTCTCTACTACAATGTATGCCATTATTATTAGCTAATTCTGAAGCTAATAATTAGCCAAAATATTAGCTAATTGGTGATGTAAATACAGATGTCAATTTATCTTCCTTGTGATTTGAATATTTTCAACTTTATGTGGCTAACAAAGAGCCTATCCTTAGAATAAGCTGAATTTCAGGTAGGCAATTCCATATTTCTGCAGCACTACTAATCCACAAATAGCATTATCCTCGCATCTCGACTCAGCAAGTGCTGTGTCCCATTGCAAGCAACTGAAAGCTAACATTGGCTTCCATGAGCTGAAGATGTATTGTTTTCACAAACCACGAAGTCTAAGTTTAGACAATTAGAACAACAAAATATTACCAGGGCTCCAGGCTTCTTTGGTGTAACCAGTCTGCTGTCACTAACATGCTGATTGCTTGCCTTTACTGCCAACTGAGTCTGATTCCTTTAGAAAGAAATTCTACCCATTGACTTTCGCTGCATTTAATTGATCAGCACTTGGTCACATGGGTAGACCTAGACCTGAGAAATGGTTTAAAACTAAACAATAGATTTCTTTTTAACACTAATAAATATTAATTATACTTAGCAATAGGTTTTTAAATAGGATGTTTTCTTTGTGGAAATCTTTTTCAAGGATTTATCAGAATTAAATATATAAAAATCATTAAATCAGGCTTGTGTAAGGGGAGACACATCTGCTTAGAGAAAATGAAGGGCAAAAGACTTTTCTTATCAGAGAGCTCCCAGTTAGCAGGTTTTATATGCCGTGATTAAGCCAGGACCATTTTACGTAGAGACCAAGCAAAATTCTGTACCAGTTTTGACTCCTGTTGGTTAGAATGAGTAATTTCCTCTGAGCCTGTTGTTCTAAGTCCATTTCAATTTGGAGAACACAACTCAGAAACAAACACATTGAGATTTCGATGTTGTATTATATAACTGTGGTTCCATAAAGATCAAAAGTAGTTATAAATTATTAATAAATTATAAATTCTCATTATAAATCATTAGCTATAAATCATTTTCCTTATCACCTTTAGTCTCAAGGGAGACATACTTTAAGATTGAATTTGAATACACTGAGCAAGTTACATTGCTCTAATTTGAACTAATGACTTCAATATAGTGATAACACTTCCTTTACTCCCAATAGCCATAGAAAATATCAAAATCAAAAAACAGTAGAAATATGACTAGAATCTAATCTCTGATTGTCTTTATTTTCTAGGATCCTGAAAGCAATGTGATTTTTCAGTGGAAAAATGTGTCTTCTTTCCGAAATATTACACAGCTTTCATTTCAATTGAGTTCAGAACCAATGCTTGGCGTTTATACAATTTCTGTGGAAGGAAAATTGGGACAGACTTGGACACACCAATTTACTGTTGATAAAAACGGTAACCAGTTTGCTATTTTTTGGTTGTCCTATATAATGGGTTCAAACTAATTGAAGATAAATTTTATGTTGAGCTTAGGCAAAAAGATTGCAACTTGATTTTCTGAGATCTTATTTCTTCCCCTTTTCTGGTGTCTCATCAATCCTTTGTTTGCTCTTCACTCCTTGCCCCCCCCCATGTCTTTTTTCTGATCCTTGCTTTGCCCTAGGAAATATCCCATTTCCTGGAATCCAGACAGTGTTCTAGAAAGATCTATGTGATTACAATGGAAAAATAATATGAAGCTCAGAATACAGAGGAGAGAAACTAAAGGAGAAAAATCAATCCTTTATGAGATGCTATTACTTACTGTAGAGGAACCATGCCCCCTCCGCAGAATCGGGGTGACTCCTACACATGCACCTGTAGGGAAACTCTGGGCACAAACGCAGAGGTAGCTACATGACTACAGTAAGTTTGCTCAGCAGCGGCTGTGGGGCTGAAATCTACCTCTCTTTGTTTCCAGTGCTACCCAAGTTTGAAGTTAAGCTCAGTGCACCACAAACAATAACTATTTTAGATGATGAATTTCAAGTGGATGCATGTGCTAAGTAAGTATTTAATCAAATTCTCCCACACAAATAAACACAAAGCTCCGAGCAAATAACACTTGAGTTTAATCACGAAGCTTTGTTTGCACTAAAATACTTAGAGAATTTTTTAGTATTTCAAAAATTATAAAGAAAAACTCACAACAAACTATAATTAATCATTTTACCATTAAAATTGTGTTTTATTTTCCTTTAATCCTTTATAAGTACTTTTAATACTGTAATAATGTTTCTAACCACAATATTTAGGGCAGCATTACCATATCATGGTAGTCTTTACATCTGTTCCAATTCCTTACTGCATAAAGCTCTTTATATAATTATATCAGATTATACAGAAAATTATTATTTTACTGTGTAACATGTAGTCTCCTATTTGTTTTCTTTTTTCCATAATTTTATTGAGAAATAAATAGCAATGAGACAGTTTCAAATCAAATTGGTAGTACAGTTTCAATAATTAACACATTGCATACTGTCTTCCTAGTGGTTAATTGCTGTACAAGATGCAGACATGATATCCTATTTATAAACACTATTAGAAAAGGTGTGGTTTTTTTACACAATGGAGTATTATTCAGCTATTAAGAATGATAAACTCGAAGCCTTTATATTGAAGTGGATGCCACTTGAACAGATACTCATAAGTGAAATAAACTAGACATACATGTGTAAATATCGTATAGTTTCCCTAGTATAAGAACTCAAAAGGAGAAATACAAATAGAAAGGTATAATACAAGTAAAAGGAAGGCAGGATCTCAAGGACTAACTAATCAAGAGAGGGAAAGGAGAAGAGCTAGGAAACATAAATAAGTCAAGCCATACAGTTATATGTAGAAGATGGGCAAGGCAATAATCCTGAGAATCTCCGGAAGATTTTTGAATCTAGCAGTTAATTGGAAAAATTCTCACCCTGACTAACTATATATACTGATACCTGTGAACTAAGCTACTGCACTGCAAATGGTAATTTGTAATAGTAGTTTCATGCTTGGAGTGCCTGTCATTCTGGTCTTCTGAATATGGGCTGCTTGTTATGACATGCCAGTTTTGCTATGATGTCTCTCGGGTAGATGGTTGTTCAAAAAGTAGGGGGTGGTGAATGAAAGCAAGAGACAAGAAAAGGAATATTGTGGGACTGTCCTGCTTCAAGGTTGTATATGGTGAGATTTTTGGACTTATGTGTAAATATAAGAAGTATATAATTCTTTATGCCTATTTTTAAAATATATTCTAATTTTTAAATGGTTTTTATTATATTCTGTAAGGACTTAAAGTTCAACATATCAATACTTGATGAAAAATACATGTTCCATATTATGCCCAAGATGTTTGATATGCAGACAGATAGTGAGGTTAAGCTTAACAGCCTAAGTTGTACGGTAAAAACAATAAGCTTGTATTCGGGAGGGTTAACAACCTAAGTTTGCAGACCAAAATTAGAGAAAAAGGAGGGCTGCAAGGAAAGCCAACATTTTGGCCCTAGCCTTCTAAGGTCAGTTAAGAATCAGGACATAAGAGAACTTGTACTGTAATGTCATGTAACTCAGTAGTGTCCCAAATTTTCTGATCAAGGAGCTTATGGGGCTAAAGAGGAAAGTGACCGATGATGTAGAGTGTGCCTAAAGAGTCACATGAAGAGAAAACATTCTCTCAAGCTTTCACAGAGAGCGCATTGGTCAAGCAATGGCCGTGACTCATGCACATGGCTGACACTGACAAAGGCTCTACAATCTGAGGTACAGGATCTCAGGATAAATCCTGAGGGGATTTCACTGACTTTATCAGACCCAAAAGATACAACTCTTGTTGCATAGGTCCTGCTTTACCTTGGTCTTAACCATCCAGCAGAAAAGTATAAAAACGAAATATAAGAAGTAAAGCCATGCTGTTATGTTGAGCTGTAGGAGACTCAGGTCAACAATTTCTGACATTGCCAGTCAAGCGGAAGACCCAATACTATTATGGGCTACTGGACTCTTTTAGAATATTTTACTGAGTTTACACACCTATAATATTCAGATAATGAAACTTAACCAAAAAAGGGTATACAGATGAATGTCCATTTTGTATCTGTGTATTCAAAGTGGTTAGGATAGATATATAGCTACATTCTCTTAATGAATAGAGTGATTTGTTCTAATGGTGTTAGGATATCATGTCCGCATGTTGTACAGCAATTAACCACTAGGAAGAAGGTATGCAATGTGTTAATTATTGAAACTGTCCTACCAATTTGATTTGAAACTGTCTCATTGCTATTTGTTTATCAATAAAATTATGAGAAAAATAACACTATTAGAACAAATCCCTCTATTCATTCCTATTTGTTTTCTTAGTAATATTTTCTTATATACATTTTGGTGTCAATATATGGCTTTTTGTTTTTGTTTTTGTTTTGTATTTTAGGGAAGCTGCTTACAGGGTGTTCAGGGTCTCACTACTAGATTGGACTCATAGTGATCAGCCTGTTTACGCCCTCCCAAGAGCTGGGATTACAAGAGCATGCCACCATGCCCAGTCTCCATTGCTGTCTCAGCACACCCTCGGGGCAGGGCCAACACAGCAGGCCCAGGGATCGAACTCCTGTCCCTGTGCCTGCTTGCAGGCACTTTAATCCACTGAACTATTTGGCCAGTCACTTTTTGTTTTTATATATAAAAATATGCATTTCTTTAGGAAAGAGTTCCAGAAGTGGAGTTGTGAAGAAAAATATGAAACATTTCTCTAGTGTTATGATTGCCATTTTGTCCAGCAATTACACTATGCCAGTGTACAATTCCAACAGCTGATGTAAATGTACCTACCACGTTGAAACTAAATCATCAAGGATTCTCATTTAAAAAACAAAGTGATACATCAAAAGTATTTTAGTGATATAAGAAAAGGTATAATATAACAGGAACTCATTTGAGTTTTCTTAATATAAAAACTTAGACGAATTGGAATGTTTTTTCTTTTGAGAAGTTACTTCTAATGCTTTGTATCTTTTGTGGTAATTTTCTTAATTTTCTAATAATAATGAAAAATGGAAGATATTTATTGAGTCTCAGTTACTTGGTTAAAAACTATGGGTATTCTCACCATAATGCCATGACATAGGAGCTAGTATCATTTCAATTTTCTAAAGACACTAAAGCACAAAATTGGAAAAACTTAACCAACATTAATGAGGTTTCTGATGGCAGAGCTCGAGTTTACACCTGGGCTGTTTGCCTTGAACACTAATCGTACAGCTATTTGAACATTCAACAATATTGATATTTGCCATATTTGTCAATCACTGGATTTAATTGTTGTCATAAGATTCCTAACTTTTGAATATTTTAGAAGTACATTAAACACACATTATGTAAAGGCTACAGAGAAAACATGATATGTATGTGTAACCATTCTCTAAAACAACTATAAGCTAAATAAACTGCAAAATGTGTATAAATTGAATGACAAAAAATTTTTTTTATTATTTGGATCTGACATTCAGTCCATGGTTTGGTAATATTTTTTGGGTTTTTTTGTTTTTTGTCTTTTTGAAACAGGGTCTCACTATGCAGTTCAGGCTGACTTTAAGCTCACTTTGACATTCCCAGACTGGTCTCAAACTCTCCACGATTCTCCTCAGCCCCCTACCACACCCAGCTTTGATTGAACTTTTAAAACAAAACTTGCACTACATACGTATGCATATGCTTCTGATTTGCACAAAAATGAGATATTACTTGATCCCATGTTTAGTTAAAATATATCCAATTTAAGACCCCATACCTTTCAGATTTATTGAGCGATGGCTAAATGAGAATTGTTGCTTAAAATATTGATGTGGAAATTGTTCAAGATCATGAAATAGTCAGTCTTTACTCATATGCATGTTTTCTACTAAATAAAATGTTACAATTGATTTTATATGTCTGTACTATATCTTGCTATGATACCAATCTCTGTAATCATAAACATACGTTGTCACACTAGGTACACTTTTGGCGGCTCTGTACAAGGAAAAGCCCAAATCCGAGTGTGCAGGGAAATATTGTCTTCTGGGAGCTGTGAAGAAGGTGCCAATGAAATATGTGAGCAATTTGTTGCCCAGGTACTAACCATGATCTCCACTTATAAAAGATCTCACTCATATTTTGTTTTTATCCATTCTCTGATTACAATTATAGAGAGGACTTAGCAAAACTGTTTTCATTCTGTGGATAATGGAGGTAGCAGGTGAACATAGTAAAGAAAGAAAAAATGCAATGTTTAAAATAGTATTTTTCATTGCAATTCATCTATAGAATTGTTGGAATTTACAACTTGAAAAGAATCTTATTTGCATACTGTCTAGGTGGGCTCTCTAATCTTTCCTTGGAGAATCATTACTCATCCTTTAAAGAAATGAAGCTACAATATTACTAACCATCTAACATAGACTTTTCCTTTTGCAAACAGCTTACTTGCAAATACCTGCAATTCACAGCATCTATATCTATAACAAAATATATCTATACTTTAGACCTGCAGCTGTCTCTCTGTCTCTCTGTCTCTCTGTCTCT